AACTAAATAGTATATGAAAAGTAGTCTTTAAGAATATTCTTCTTGGCTATTTGCACTTGTTAGTACGTAGAAGTAAAATCCAACTTGGTGAACTGCCTTAAATAATCTAGAAGATTAATAGAGAAAGAGGGTACATATCTGGGATTAGTATATCATTTAACAAATAACAATCAATATAAACTTAAATACTTTTAGCACTCTTTGCCACATATCCAAGGACTTTAAGAGTTTCAGATAACACATTTTTTCAATATCTTCTAAATAGTTTTTTGTAAAATTTTAATTTCCTTTGGTGACCGATGGTAAATAGAAACATTGATGAAACTAACATCTCTAGTTAGAATAAGATGATGCATTGTAATTTTGGCCCCTTATGATAAATTAAAGTCAAAGAGATTACCATAACTACCATAATATAAACACTATTTGAAGGATCTAAAGAGGGAATAAAAGAACAAGAAGGAAATAAAATAAGAAGTAATAAGGATTAAAAAGTGAATGAAGTAGAGGTAAAAGCAAAAGGACAAAGTGGAACAAAAATGAAAAGAATGGAGAAAATATGAAATATGAAATAAAGGGGAAAAATTTCAAAGTCACACTATCAATTTGTACCAAGGATGAGTTCAAAAACTTGAACTCGGCACTACCCATAATGATTGAAGTTCAAACTCAAGATTATCTACACACACAAATAATATAAGACCTATTATTATAAAAATGAGTCTAGAAATTAAATATTAAATGAATTGGTGTTTAGTGAACCCTTTGATATTACTCTCAAAAGAAGGATAAAAGAGTTACTAACTTATTTATGCAAGAACCTTCTACTACTCATATGAGTTTTTGTTTCCTAGAAATTTTTTTTATATGAATACCTTCCACTACAGCAGTATCAACAAGATGTTGTTAATGCCATGGCTTCCATTCTTGAAATAAAAAATGCCAATTTAGAAAATGATGGCAATGCTGATACGAGTGGCCACCATCATCATATATCTAATAGTAAATATTACGGCCACAACCACATCCTCACCCTTATCCTTGAACATATATAGCAATAACATCAATCTCCATTAGAACAAAAGCATTTCACATGGGAAGTGGAGTTAAAGTATATGTAGTTATAAGTGGGAGAGGTGAAGTTTTGTAGCATTGTGCTAAGCGACGAGCATTGTCAAGAGTAACTGGGGCAAATGCATACACAAACATCACAAGATCTTGACGAAACACTAGCCACGAAATTCCCAACTTGATCTACTCTTATATATTTAGCTTTACAAGAAGTAAAAGGCTCTAGATAAATTACATAACTAACTCAGAAAGTCTATGATAAATATTATCATAATTATTAGCATCACTTAAAAATGTATATAAGAAAGTTCCAATTTATATAAGTAGATACACTCAAGCTATTGTACCATTGCAATACTATCTCTTAGAGACATGTGGGAAACTTAGATATACATTAATCATTATCCTAAGAATGATAAGTAGCAATCACTATAAATAATACATATCATCCTTAAAATTCCCATGGAAAAAATTCTATCAAATATGAGGATTGGTAGCAAAAGCAAGAAGAGCTACACCACATGTTATGAATATGTAAGCAATTAAAAAGAACAATTTAGGAAATGATCCATAAACAACATTCTTTTAGGATATTTGGTGGGTTAATCATCTTTAGGTTTTCCAACTTAAGAGCTTACATAACACTGCCATTGATTGAGTTTGATTATTCAATTGCAATTATATAATATTGACCAATTGCATTAATTTCTTGAAAATGAATAAAAAAAAGAAAAACAAAAAAGAAGAAATGGAAAACTACAAAAATAAGAAAAATCTAGATAATGTAAAAGTTAAAATCAAAGCATTCTTCATAGACAACTAAAGTTGTCAATATGAGTGTATGGAATATAAAAATATGTATATCCAATTAACCTAAACTCTATTTATATACAGGAGTAGAGAATTTAAATTGAAACCAATTTAATGGCTATCAAAATCTCACAAATCTAATAATAATATACAACATCCATATTAAAAATTATGAAAGGTTTTTAAATATAGTGTTAATTTGGAATTTGCTCAATATAAAACTTTTGACTTCTTAAGAATTTATTCTAAAAGTGTTACTATTAATAACTGTCATAACTAATCATACTTACACAATATACTACTAATTATAATGTAAATTAGCTTTCAATGGAGTTATTATTGGAGGTGTAATTACACTTCTTACTTCTGGTTAATATTTGGGTAAACAACTGCTTCAGTTGTCGTCAAGAGAGTTGAAACACTGTCATAAATGGATTGATCAAAGCACACTAAATCACGAGATTTTGAAAGAACATACCTGACAGCGTCCTGGATTGCCCTTCTCAAAACTTTCACTGGGTCGACAATGCCTGCCTTGAACATGTCAACGTACTCGCCTGTGTGGCTCATGAGTACGCAAGGAACGAAAATGGAAGTATCTGTTGGATTCACCTTGAGCAGTGTCGAAGCCAAAGCTATCGTTTTCAATCTTCTCCAGCAGTTTCCCTACAACCATGGATGCTTCGTATCCAGCATTTGCGGCGATGATATAAGCGGGTATCTGCAAGTTTTCCTCAAGTTCAAAGTGATACACTTTTTGCCATACCTTCATGGCGTTTTGAATGATCTGAACTCCAACCTTCTCCTCAAAATTTGTTGTTTTGATCTTATCAAGCTCACGGGAGGCTTGAAGAAGAGCTACTCCACCACCTGCAGGATGAATGTTTACCACAAAGTCTAGCTTACATTGCTCTACCTGGCACAATTCCTTCATAAGCAGCTGCTCTCGCAGAATTCAAGGCATCCACTACTCGATCTTTTTTTTCCGATATTTCAACGTCGCTGGCTCCACCCACCTAATAAGAGAAAAAATAAAAATAAAAATAGCGGAAATCATTTAAAATGCTCTCCACCTTAATCACAGCTACCCCTCCCGATAACCTGGAGAGTCTTTGCTCCAGTTTTTCCTTGTCAAATTTCGCAGTAGCTTTCTTTAACTGAGATGTCACCTGAAAAGCAAAAAATTGCAGTGACATTTTTAGAATCTCGCACTACTTGCCTCGTCCCGTCGCTCTTGAATAACTTGCTTATCACCCACAGCACCTAAAATGATGGTGTCGTCTTTGGTTACAATAATCTGCAGAGGAGCATAAAGACAACTAGTCTATCGGGCTAGTGTTTCCGAACCTTCTTTGCATTTCCAAGCATTTCTACTGTTACGTCCTCGAGTTTCAAACTAGTGCTTTCGCTTATAAGCTGAAGAAAGAGATGAAAGTCGTTAGAATGAAGGCAGTATCTTGTTTCCATCACCTTTGAACCCGTCAAGGCTATAAAGTCGAGAAGGTGATCTATTCGATAGCTGCCGAATCCAGGAGCTTTTATGACGCAAACCTGAATGTTGGTGACGAATTAAAGCGACCAAATAGTATCCGTACAAGAGTTACCTTGAGACCAGCGCGGACTTTGTTAACAACTAGTGCCGTCAACGCTTCGCCCACCACATCATCCGCAACGATAAACAACGGCCTTTGCAACTAAAGTTGAAAGAACACAAGCTTGTGAAAGATTGAGTTGAAACAAAATCTACCTTAACCACCAGTTGAAGCAGTGGCTTCAATTTGCTAGCCTCCGATATTTTTTTTTCGTGCACAAGAATGAGGGGATCATCGAGTTCCTGAAAGAGTGTGAATCAGGAAATCATGACGAGGGCAGTATTTCACTCCTTACACATTTCTGAGTTCTGGTGTTGGTGATAAAGTTTGTTAACAAGTAGCCTCTGTCCAGCTTCAAACCGTCGATAACCTCGAGCTCGTTTTCAAGTGTTTTTCCCTCCTGAGATCGGAAATATAAAAAAAAATCGTATAAAGGTCTAGCTGTGAGCTTACGCTGATTGTGACGACACCCTCTTTGCCGACTTTTTCCAATGCCTTGGCTACCAAATCTCCTACTTCGGCGTCCCCGTTGGCCGAGATCGAAGCAACCTGGAGAAAGAACTCACAAGATGGACATTTGTCGAGACAATCGTCACGGACCTGAGCATATTCAGTAGGAGTGCTAATCGTCTTCGCCTTGCTCTTGAGGTACTCCACCACCGTGTCCACTGCCATATTCATGCCGCGGCGAAGATCCATGGCGTTCATTCCAGCGGCCACGGACTTGGTGCCTTCGGCAAATATGGACCTCGCAAGAACAGTTGCCAGAGTTGTCCCTACAAGAAAAAAAAAGAACACATTCAAAACTGTTTTAGAAGGAGAGAGAGAGAGAACAAAAAAAAAAACGGAAGCCTTACCATCCCCTGCCACAGCATTGGTAGCATTAGCAACTTGCTTGACGAGAGCAGCCCCAACGTTTTTTACTCGGTTTTCGAAAGCCATGCTCCTGGCAACAGTCACTCCATCCTTTGTGATTTTGGGAGTGCCATAACTCAGCTCGATCACGACGTTTCGCCCCTATCAACAAAAACAGAGAATTCCTCGTTCTAAGAACAGAGTAGGAGTGTAAAAGTATCGCATCACACACCTTGGGACCCATGGTCACTTGCACGGCATCGGCCAGCTCGTTCACTCCCTCCAGCATAAGAGCTCTTGCTTCCACTCCAAACATGACTTCCTTTGGAAGTGGAGGCTTAAAATCCTTGCTAGAGCTCCTGAGCCAACGAACGGCCTGTAGAGAACAGAGAAAATCACCCACAATTCACACCAAAAACAAGAGATAAGAGCTACCTGTGAAGAACTTCCATGGAGTCTGGAAAAAGGAGCACAAAATCACACTTGAAATGGAGAGAAACAAGAAGTACTACCTAAATACCTCAAGCGCGAAGAGAAAGCCCTCCACATTTTCTCCTACTTGCGCATCTCGTCCCCCCAAGAAAACCCTAAACCCTAGCTAGTATCTCCCGTACGTACGGCCCCCGGCTTGTACTTACTTTTTCTGCTCAGGAAGCCCTAATACCCGAGAGCGGAGAGAGGAGGCTGTGGGCGCGAGCAGAGCTTGGATTTGTTGTTGCTTTCGGTGATTCGCCAGGGGCGAGGCGGCACAGAGCTAGAATCGCAGTCTAGGGTTTGATCTAGGGTTTTTGCGATGGACGGCAAGGCGACCGACGGGATTGCAGCAGGCAACGCTCCCGGCGCTGCTGAGGTCGTGAATCCGCCCTGGAAATCTCGAGGTGAGGATGTCGTTGTGTCGGTTTCTTTGTGCTCAGCTCGTGGATGGTGTCTGTGGGCGTAGACGATGGGAATAACGGGATATCGAAGCTTCTCGCGAATATTTTGGACACGGATGTCAAAGGTTCACTCTTCTCTGTTCGTTTGTGTTTCACAGTCGTGACTTTTTCTTGGGTTCGTGCATAGATGGCGCAGAGAACGATCTTCCGCTGTCTCCACAGTGGCTCCATCCCAAATCGTCCGAGAAACCAGCCGGAGTAAGGACTTATTTGTGGAAAGAATTTTTTTCCTTAGTTTTGAGGCTTGATCGTTGCAGGAGCCGCCTTATACGCCCAGGTCCGGACTCCATCACGAGCTCAACAAGGACAACTGGCGTGGGGATGGTGCTCGCGAGCTCGATCGAAAGTGGTGGCGAAATGACGAGCGCAGGGATAAATGGAGAGAGGACGAGAGGGAGAACACGAGACAGAGGTGGAAGGACGGTGACCGAGAAGCACCGGATGGTAAGAGGTGGCTAGATAAGGAGCCGGGGGAAGGAAAACGAGGGAACTTAGAGCGGTGGACTGATTTCTCCAACAGGGACACGAGCTATGATAATCGTCGAGATAGCAAATGGAACAGCCGCTGGGGTCCAGGTGACAAGGACAAGGAACCACGTCGTGATAAATGGGTGGATCCAGACAAGGAAGGCGAGAAGGACAGGCATGCAAGTAATCCCATCAGCATTCGAGAGCCTGATCACGAGAACTCTTCCCGAGCATGGGTTCCGCCGCATGCTAGACGCGGTGAAGCTGCTTCTCCACTAGGGAGTACACCACCGAAGTTTGCACCGGGTTTTGGCAGAGGGCGTGGCGATACGTTTACTGCTGGACGTGGTCGAAACACTTATGGAAGTGGGCCTCTGCATGGTCCGGGCTTGCCTGGAGCGCAAGGAAGCCATATCGGTGACAAAGCGGAAATGCGTCCGGGACGGGGTGATTCAACTTACCGTTATCCAAGAGGCAAGCTTCTTGACATCTATCGGAGCTGTCCTGTCAAGCCGAAACTCCCCGATGGTTTCATTGAAGTCGAACAGCTAACTACGGACAAGCCAGTGGAACCGCTGGCCGTTTCCGCCCCCGATGATGATGAAGAGGTATGCGCTTTGATGGTTATTTTTCTTGCCTGAATTCTTTGGAGCAGGTGGTATTGGAAGCTATTCAGAAAGGGGACATAACTGGTAGCGGAGCTGCACAGAATACTTCCAAAGACGGTCGTGTTCCTCGTGAGGAGACTGCAAGAGTTCGACCGCGTATTGGGCTTGGAAGAGCATTTGGTAATTGTGTTGTGTTTATTCACTTGAGCTCTAATTTCTCTTTGACAGGCAAGGATGACGATAAAGTCAGTGATGAAGACGCTTTTCGAGATTTCGAAGGGGACTCCGAGAATCGGACGAACTACAATGGTATGCATGCGTTTAGCACAGATTAATTTTCTTATATATGCCATTGTTCAGGTTTAAAGGACGGGAGGAGGGACGAAGCTCGGCGATATAGAACAACTGAAGAAGCCAAGAAATGGGAGGTGAATGAAGACGACATGGATCCTTACAAGGAAGATAGAGGTTGGAAGCCAAGTGCCCGAAAGGAAGAGCAAGTAAAACCGCAGCCGCGACCAGAAGACCTTCAACTTTTTTATACAGATCCTCAGGGTGTCATTCAAGGCCCCTTTATTGGTGCAGACATCATAGGATGGTTTGAAGCTGGTTTCTTCAACATAGACCTGCCCGTTCGTCTTTCCGACGCTCCCGAGGGAACTGGTTTTGTACCGCTTGGGAACATCATGCCGCACTTGAAACCGAAAGCTCGCGTACCTCCAGGTTTTGACGTCAAAGTGGAAGAGAAGGCGGGGTTCGATAATAACCTTCATTTACTACAAGAACTTGACACGAAGAGACTGGATGTGAAGCCGGATTCTAGTAGATTGACGCCAGGTATTTCTTTCACTCTTTTTCTTTTCTTTGTTTTTTTTTTTTCTAACTTGAATTTATTTTTCTATTCAGAGGTTGCAGAAGAAGACTTGGCAAGAAAGAGAATAGCTGTACTTTCGCAAGGTCGGCTGGAAAAACTCGATCAAGGTCCAGGATTTTTTCAAGGAAAATGGCCACACGACAACTCTTCAGAAGCTGATGTCGCTAAGCTGTCAGCGAGTGTAAAACCCACCGATGTCATGACACCGCTGTCACCTATGCCGGGTGCTATGGCGGGTGCAGATTGGCCTCGTTCTCAGCAGCTGCAATCCGAACTTGTCTTCCAGCACATAAACCAGAATTTTCCTCAACGTACAAGTTCGGGACTACTTTTAGAACAGCTACACTCGCCAATATCACAGCCGGTTTTACCTCCAACGACTGAGCAGCTACTCAAAATGAGGCAGCAGCAGCTACAGCAGCAGCAGTTACAACAGCAGCAGCAGCAGCAGCACCAGCCACAACATCAACTCCAGTTACAGCAGCAGCTGCATCAACAAGCTCCACATCCTACTTTACTTGAGCAGCTGCTTTTGCAACAAGCAAGCATGAACGAGTATCAGCGACTGCAGAATGCCAACTTTGAGGCGTTAAGCAGGCAGCCCGACGCGTCTCCGTTATCTGAAAAGCCTGGAGTTCGAGCTTCTAGTAATCCGCTAGAGCAGTTGGCGCAGTTGAAACACCAGCACGAGTCGGCATTCAGGCAGTTCTATCCTACAGACGAGCGTCACCTTTTACGGCAGTTAAGCGTACCGCCTGCACAGCAGTGGCCGACGGCCGAGAAAACTAGAATGCCCGGCGTATGGGACATAGATGACTACGGGCAGTTCTTGCGGACTTCAGCGCCACCTGGGACTGGTGATCAGAAGGACGCAGCTCTAAGCACTCACTTCGAGAGGAGCCTCAGCTTGGGAAGAATTCCGACTGATCCTACTCAGGAGAGTTTCAAGGCTGAAAATAATCCAACTGTTTCGTTATATTCGCCTGGAGGAAATTTGCAGCAGCAGCAGTGGCCGACAGCCGAAGTGAACTTCAAGGAGAATATTGAGGTGGCGGGGAACAAGCCGCAACGAAGCATTGCTGATTATGTGCCTGAACCACCACTTCCTGGACAGAATACATCACCGTTACTCCAGGCTCAGCAGCACAGTGAGGTTGCTACTCCTCTCGAAATTTTGCTTCAGGAGGCTAAAAGGCAGAGTGAGGAGAAGATCGTTTCGCCAACTGCCTGGGTCGCTCCTGCTTCACAGCCGAAAGCTCCGAAAGAGTCTCAGGAGGAGGAATCGTTGAAGAAGTCGGCAACATTGAACACCAACATTCCTGCCCCTGCTCCAACTCAAGCTTACTCCACCGTGCAAGAGGCAGATGAAGTCTCTCCATTCAAAAGTGAAGACGGCGACTTTATCGAGCCAAAGGAAACTAAGAAAAGCAAGAAGCGGGCATCCAAAAGCAAGTCGAATAAGCCTATCGTCAGTGCCATCGACAGCCCTGCGTTGCCTTCTGCGACAACAAAGGCCAACAGCTCGAAGCAGCTTCCAGACCTGAGCAAAGAGATTTTACCGTCTCCGCCACCAGGGCCTTCTCTTGCGGATTATATGTTTACTCGGGAAGAGCCAGCTGTTTCTCAACCACTTGCTGCTTGGTCGATTGACACAAACAAACAAGTGAAACCGGCTAAGTCTCTGAAAGAGATCCAAGAGGCTGAACGTCAGGCCAGGGAGGAGCAAGATAAGAGGCTCAGACTTCTGCAGCAGCAGCAACAGCAGCAGCTGCAGCTACAGCAGCAACAGCTTGCGGCGTCTAAGCCAGCAATCATTCGAAATGCAGGTATTAATGGCTCTGCGTGGCAGAAACCATCTCCCGCTGTGGCGACTCCTGTCCAATCGAACAAGTCTTCCAAGTCGAAACCGAAGGTTGACGACGATATGGACCTGTTCTGGGACTACGGTGAAGATGCTCTCAAGCCAGCGGCCAAGTCAGAAAGGTATGATTGTCTATGCGAGACTTAAGACTGACATGTTCTTGTGTGTACAGGCAAGAGTCATCGGGCAGGAAAGGCCCGGCCAAGGAGCTCGCAACAGGATTTCGACAAGCTTCTGCTGCTGCGGTTTCACAAGGCAGTGCTGCGGAGTTTCCATCCTTGTCATCTTCGATAAGGCCGTCGACACCAGTAACTCCGAATACCGTGAAGAAGATAGCTGGAAAGAAGGGTAAGTCCTCGTTGTTTGTGGATCACCTATAGATGTTTAATCTATTGCCATCTTTAGATGCTGTTACTTCTCCGAGTACAGGCCCAAATGCAGAGGCCAAAGCATTCCGGCAGTGGTGCGAGAGCCAAATGAAAAAGCTGACTGGTAACGATGGTAAGTCCGCAACTTTTGTTCCGTCTTTGCGTGTGCTAAGCGACAGCTCTGTCCAGATATGACGCTCTTGGAGTTTTGCTTATCCCTCCCATCCAGTGCCGAGGCCGGAGAGTACCTCACACAGTATCTCGGCTCCACGGCCAACGTCCAGGCATTCAAGTCCGAGTTGTTACAGCGCAAGGAGCTGTTGCCAGTGGAAGCTCTCCGCAGCGTCTTCACGGTGAGTGACGCGGTTATCAGCGAGGATTGGAAGCAGGCAAGCCGGGGACAGGGCCAGTTTTACGAGAAGAGCAAAGCGGCGGAGACCGAGTTCCAGGAATCCAAGGCCGGGAAGAAGAAAGGAAAGAAGGGGAAGAAGGTGGTGGATCCATCGCTGCTAGGATTTAGCGTGACGAGTAACAGGATACTCATGGGGGAGATACAGCACGTAGAGGACTAGAGGCTGTTCCTCTTCTCGGCGGGAGTGTAAATTACCTGTAAAGGGAGGCAGGCGGCTGGAGGACGCTTTCGCGGCAAAAAATTTTGTTTTTCGGGGTGGAGACGCTTGTACAGTGCAACATGAAATGGGAGTTTTCTTTTCATTCCATTTGAGTTTAGAGTCTTTCGAGGAGCAAAGGCCGGCTGTGCCGTGGTGTGCCGCTAGCTAAGTGGGGGATAGCCGGAAGCTATATCTCTGGGCTATGGCAACCTTGGCCTCGATCTGGGAGAATGATTGGCCCAGGCACACACGCTAGCTTTGCGAAAATGGTGTTGGAGGAGGTTGAGAATAGGGATGGTCACTCCGCTTCTTTCCGGGAATGACAAATGCCCAAACTTGGCATCTTTGAAAACGGCAGGACAAGCGCAAGCTCTCGTTGAGCACCATCCCGACCTGGAATTTCCCATAGCTATGGAGTTTAGAGAAGTCCAAGGAAGAACAAGATGAACTTACAATCTTTAGCTTGCTCCCTCGGCATCAAGCTTCTGGTGTCACGATCATAACTCCAAAACACCACTCCTTTAGCCGGCAACCTAACGCCATTGAGACTGGTTGACCATTTGTATGTCCGGCCGTTCTTTTCAAAGGCGAGAAGCTGCTCTCCAAAATTAACAACGATATTTCCCAGCTGCTCTAACGTTTCGACACCCAGGGTGATGTCAATCGCCCCCATATCCAACACGCAGAATGTTCCGCTAACCCCGACATCAATGAACATCAAGTCTTTTGGGACGTTTTAATCATTCCACCATCCGCTATTTCCATCTCCAGCGGCTGCTCTTCATTTTCCCAGAGACTTCCAGTTATCAAAAGTATGGGAAGCGCCAGAGCGTTGGCCCACATTTCTCTGGATTCGGAAACACTCCGGACCTGCTACCGTGCTGCAGTGGCAGATGGTCTCCAGCTTCATGAGCAACTGCTCCGGTTCCTCCTCCAGCGCGACTGAACCTCCATGATGAAAACGCCTCGTCAACCTCATCTAGCTCACAGGGCATAAGGTCGCCCTGATCATTAGCCTGAAGCTGAAATCCGAGCTCTAGGGTTCTCCGAGCCTGATAAACTTCGCGGTGTCCGCGGCTCCATTTTTCACTGTAGTCTAAACATTTGCCAAGACGAAGATCTTCCAATAATCTCTTCATTCGATCCCACCGATGACTCTTGCCTGGGAGATGAAGAGTCTCCTTGAGCTGGGAGATAGGAGGAGCTAGCGCAGGAGTTTGTTTCGGCCGCACTTCCCAACCCTCTCGCCGAGGCCACTCGGATCTAGAGAACATCATGTCCGCAAGAAGAGCATAAGACATCGCCTGGTGAACTGAGACCGGGTTCATCCGAGCGATATCTGCTGCCATGGACGTTGGAAGGGACGCGATGTAGCACTGTGTTAATGCCTCTTCCGGGATGTTGGTGACTGCATAACGAGCTTGGAGCCACAGTTCGTTCTGCCCACGTCCTTCATTAGGCCTCACCTCCTCACCTCCTCTAGCGATGAATCTTCGCCACCTTTGCCAGCAGCAACTCCGCCAACGTCCCCGTAGCTGCTCCTCTGCCAGTTGCTTCACCTCCCACGTCACTCCATCGCCCTTTCCAGGAACACCAAGTCCGCCTGGTGTTCTGTCCCCGCCAACGTCTATACCGAATGGCCAAACAGGTTCTTCTGGCGTTGTGAGCCACGTTCTCTTTCATTTCAGGGGCAGATATCCGAGACGAAGGTTTGATTCCGGTGGAAAGCCATTCTTTCCTCCAATGCCACCTTCAGGCTCTCTTGGGAGAGCACAGGGGTCCAATGGTTATTTCTTTGGTTATTTCTTTAGCTACGAAGATCTATACCACGGGGTTTTCTGGAGTGCTTGGAGAGGGAGGCTTTGGATGTGTAATCTTACCTGGGGGACAGGAGGTGGCTGTAAAACTGCTCAAGGGTGGAGGAGGACAAGGCGAGCGTGAATTTCGGGCCTAAGTCGAGGATCCTCATCGTCATCTTGTAACATTGGTAAGCTACTGCATTTATGAAACCTTTGTCTTACGGTTTTTTTTACGGGACCTTTATGGTCTTCCGAGGAGCAAAGGCAGGCCGTGCTGTGGCTGGAGCGCTAGCCGATGCACGGGGCTGTGCCGGTAAGTGGGCGATAGCCGGAAGCTAAATCTCTGCAAGATCATGGCCATGGCGACCTTGGCCTCGATCTGTGCAAAGGATTGGCCCAGGCACACACGCTGGCCCTGAGAAAATGGAAGAAACGCGCATGAGTGGCGGCTCTTGGAGGCGCTGGAGATGCCATCCGCGAAGCGCTGGGGATTAAACTCGTTGGCGTCGTCGCCCCAGATGTCCTTGTCGTGGAGGAGGTAGAGGATGGGGATGATCACTCCGCTTCCTTCCGGGAATGACAAATGCCCAAGCTTGGCATCTTTGTAGCAGCTCCGGACGTTGAAAACGGCAGGAGGGTACAAGCGCAAGCTCTCGTTGAGCACCATCCCGACCTGGAGTTCCGCCAAAGCTATGGGGTTTAGGCAAGTCCAAGGAAGATCAAGAAGAACTTACAATCTTTAGCTTGCTCAAGCTCTCGGCGTCTGGTGCTTGGGACTGGCAGACTTGGCGGACTTCCTCTCGGGCTTGCTCCTGCCAGGAGGGGTTTGCGGCGAGGAGCATCATCGTCCATGCCAGCCACTTAGCCGAGGTCTCCTGTCCCGCGATGTAGAACGTCTTGCATTCTTCCATCAGGCTGTCTGTGGTGAAGGAGAGCCCGGTTTTGTCGTCGTGGTGCCCGGCATCAACTTCGTCCAGCATAATCCCGAGCAAATCACTTCCATAGTTGTCGATCTCTCCCGCCAACTTTTGATCTCTTCGCGCTTGGACAATCTCTTCTAGCGTCGAGCGGAGCTTGGAGTTGGCAGTTTTGATTTCCCTGTTAAGTTTGCAAATTGGAAGCATGCTGTGGCAATGCGTGAATCGTTTAGCAAGTGGAAAACACGTCTATATCTATATGTACCTCTGTATCCATGGTGATGAGAACTTCTTGTAGACAAGCCCTCCCACTTGATCCAGCAGCTCGAAAACTTTGTGACCCTTCTTATAGCTGCTGCCAAACGCTGCTCGAGATATGATGTCCGAAGTTAGCGTCGTGAGTTCCTTGCAGACTTCCAGTTCGATGGGCTCGTCTTTGCCTTCTGTGAGAGCATTCCATTTCTCCAGCATTTCTGCTACGCAATCTCGCATGCCCCCTACCATGAACTGTGCCAAGAGAGAGAGAGAGAGAGAGAAAAAAAAAACAGATCTCTAGACGTCCAGAAAAATTCTAAACCGCAGTTGCTTGCCTTGATCTTCTCTGCGTGAAAGGCAGGCGCGAGGATGCGACGCCGGAAGGCCCATTCGTCTCCATTCACGACAGCGAGGCCTCGGCCCAGAATATCGACTTGGAACTTTCGCTGCCACTCCGGAGACCAAAACGCTCCAGATTTGTTGTAGAGCACCTCTTTGATCATGTCAAGGTCTGTAAGAACAACGCCAGGCTCGGTTCCCCACCACCACAGCAGAGGAAGTCCTGCAGGAAATGTTTTGAAAGTTTGCTAGAGAAATTCACAAAAAAAAAAAAAACGTAGCTTTAGTACCATAGAGTTTTGCCCAATGGAGGAGGTGTGGCTGGACGTATTCCACAATGTCGTGAGTGATCGGCCCTTGGATGCATTCGGCCTCTGTACGAGCGCGCATTTGGAAGATCTCGTAAACATTTCCAGAGAGAATCGACCTGGGCGGGCCGCGAATGCCCTGCTGCCGCAGCTTGGCCTCCAGGATCCAGGGCTTGAGCAACAGCTTTGCCGCCCCCTTCCATACCAGAGCTATGCACAACGCCGCGATCGTCCATAGCCATACCGCCATGGAGAAAAGATTTGGGAGATTTCCTTGAATTGCCATAAAAAGTAAATCCCATCCAAAAACCCCCTTCAGATGGGGCTTTTTCCTTCTAGTAGCCAAATATTTCAATTCAAAGCACCTATCCAATCAAATCTACTAAAAAAATTTAGTTTAGGAATTTGTGCATGCAAATGATTTTCTTATGCTGTGTGAACAATTGAATTTAGCTAATTTAACATAAATTGGAACAAAATGCATTTAACATAAATTAGAGTAAAATTATTAATTAGTATATTTGCTTTTAATGTTTCCAAAAGATTATATCAAGATTAATATTTATTAAAACTATTGAGCAATTCAGAAATTTAAATATAAAAGTTTTCATAAAATTAGCTCTAAAGCTTTTTAAAAGAATGAAGAGCAGTATAGTTAGTTAAATTGGAAAAATATGCATTCAATATAAATTGGAGCAAGATTGTTGACTAATTTTTTTACTCCTAATGTTTCCAAAAGATCATATTGATATTAAAACGCCGGGCTTCATCCTCCTGGAGGCGCCCCTTCTCAACAATATAATCGAACAGCTCCCCCGACTTGACATACTCCATCACCACGAAAATATCATTCATGGTCTCCACGACCTCGTAGAGCCTTATGATGTGAGGATGCATGAATAACCTCAAGATCTTGATCTCTCTTCTAACTTTGAGGAAGAAAGAGTAGCAAGAATCAGAAAGTAGCGCACGGAAATGGAAAATGTAGTATGATACCTTTCTCTTCCATGTCCATGGCCTTGATTTTCCTGCGATTGAGTATCTTGATGGCAACCTTGTGCCCAGTGGGGATGTGCTCGGCTACCTTGACCTTACCAAACGATCCGATTCCAAGAGTCTTGCCCATCTTGTAGTTGAGGAAATCGTTGGCCTTCCCGTCCATCGCGAAACCGCGTGTGCTCCAGTGGAACCCTAGAGGATAAGCTTAAGGTCCACTTCAAGTTTAGTGATAAGTTCCGTAAATACATGTCAGCATATATTGAAATGTTCAACAAGCAGAAACTATAACATCTCTTTGTTCAAGAAACCTAGCAGCGCCGTCTTGACACCAGCATTTACCTTGTCAAACTCCTTGTGCAAGAAAACTGAGACACAATCTTACGCCTCCTTCCTGCCTTCGTTTGTAGATTTGCCATCTCTCTCGAAGAAACCGCTGTATCATTTTGGACGCCTCCATTGAGCACCTGCGCGCAAATTAAAAAATAAACATCAGACATCAGTCATCGAATGGAAGTTTCTTTTTCATTTTGCTCTCTTACAGACAACAAGGATGTATGAGCACGAGAACGTCAAAGCAAAAGACGAGAAGCCAAAGGATCCAACCAAAGAAGCAGAAAAGGAGCCCCAAGATTCACAATGAAAGTGTAGTATCTTTTACAAAGTAACATTCACTATTTCTTTTCTATAAAATAGAATAATATAATTTTTAAATAAAAAATTATTCACAAAGCCTTTATCTTAGTTTTATTATTAAATATACTATTATAAACATATCCATACATACTTTAAACATTAATATAAAATATTTAGATGAAATAAAAGTGATTAGATTTAATTATTATTTTTAATATAAAGAAGTTTACTTTATGCATAATCTAGAATATTTAGTATAAAATATAAGAAACTCCTCTTATCTAGTATATTATATTTCTATAAGTTTCTTACCATATTTTTTAAATTCTTTTTATTAATTATATTTACTAGTTTATGCTATGCTCAACCACCTCAAACAAGATGGATTGGACGGCTTGGTCATTTTAGTAATCGAAATATTGGGAATATTATAGCTCGAATAAGACGTTTAATAGATAGTATTGATATTAATCAACCAATAATTTTTAACAATAATGGGTTTTATCTTTTTGAAGTTATTAGTATTGGTTATCAAGCAGTTATGATTAGGATTTATATTATTCCTTCAGGTTTTAGAAATTTTATAAATTGCAATCCACTTCCGGCTAATTATCAATTTTCTGGCCAATATATTCGAGATACGTTCTTACATATTTTAAGATTAGTTGAGTATCATGCTAGATTATATGGTTTGGGCTGGACACTTAACAGTAGTATTTTATAAGAATAATTTAAAAACTATAGTTTGGAAAAATAAATTTTAATTTAGTTATATGTAAACAATAAAACTTGATATAAAGGTGAGCTTTAAATTTGTAATTCTTTTTAATATGGTTTGAAATCCAAGATGAGAGCTGGGTAGTGATATTGCTTCTAAAAATCTTGTCTTTGCAAATGCTTTAGAGGTTGCCTTATACTTCTCCTCAATTGACATAGGAAGTATATATCTCCATGGTGAGCAGGGCTTAAGCAAAACCTTAGTTTGTGCTTGTGTGGATAAAACAGGATGGGATGGATTAGATGAGCTCAAGTCAACAGTCTGCCCAAAGGGGTTAAAAGAGTTGTTGAGGGAATTCTGGTGTGGAACAGAGTGGTTCATAGCCTTATAAAAAACATAGCAATTGAAGATTATAAATATGAGGGTTTTCATGAAAATAACTTTTAACCATAGTATAATTAACTAAATTGGAAAAAAAAATTAAAAAATTATTAATCTATCTAAATTACTACAATTGCATTTTTCTTTTTTATAATTTTAAGATATGACAAGTAATTTGTGATTGTAGGTTTTGGGGGAAAGTACACTTCCCAAGACATGTATAATTTTACAAAATATAAAATTAAATCACTTGAATTGTTATAACACATATGTGTGACTAACAAAATAATATTTTCCATATAACTTTTTTTAAGGTATATAACCATTGTCAATTATTGCCACATCAACAATCTTTTAGTTTGGCAAAAATACACAATGAAATGATTAATCTATTGACTTAATTAAAAGTCTAGTTAAACCAAACATCATGCCAAAAGAGTGTTAACCATGGCTTTCACCACTTTCCATTGGATGCTATGCTAATTTGGCATTTAAATACTCATCCATTTGTGCATTTGAAATCGAAAGTGCATAGTTGTTGACCATGTGTTTAAAGGAGAGGAAATATCTTTCCATAGAGCACTTGATTAAGGCTCTTGGGGCACTAAGTATATAGTCACAATTTTTAACAGTTATATGCATTTAAGTGTTGATCTAGAATTTGACCAATCTCTACATTAGAATCTTCATATCGTGGTGCTCAAACTTTTCAACGGATGGGTTTTATCTTGGGTGAGTAGAATCTTGTTGTTAAATGAAATTATTAATGGATATATAGAGATGGTGGTGTTGTATAACATATTGGATGAGCTAGAGCACACAATCCGCCCTTTTAGGCAATGTGTCTGACACAATTTTTGAATTTTCTTGCCATCTAATTGTAATATGCAATCTGGCAATTCTAGATATCTTTGCAATCCTTTGTAGTCATAAGCAATCCTAACTGACATAAGTTACATTCATATATAGCATTTCTCATGCCAAAATTATAATGCACACTAATTGCTATAATAGCAATTAAAATGTGATTATGTGCTATTGAAAACAAGAGCTTGGGTCAAGCACGTTACCTAGCAATAGGATTGTACGCTCTGGCTCATCAAACATGCCATACAACACTACAATCTTTATCAATCCACTAATAATTTCATTTAGCACTCACTGCTGCTGTGACTCCTCTAAATCAGATGTAACATTTGCAATTCTAAGGTAGAGATCAATAAGACTCTAGATTGACACCCAAAGTACAGATGTGCACAATGCCCTAGGAGCCCTAATCAAGCACTCTATTGAAATTGTCACAATGGGAAGTGGATAACACCTAGAGCATGGACACTCATCATTCTTTTAGTATGATATTGGGTTAGATGGTCTTAGATCAATCATTTTATGGTTTGAAACTATAAAATGAAAAAGATGTTGATGTGGCAATAAACTGATATGGATTATATGTGGCCATGCATGCATATATAGACTTTGGAAGCTTAGTATTGTTATCTATTGTCACTACCTCCCCATATCAAGATTGGGTAATTTGTGTGCCTGCTACCTTCCTTGGATGTGGATATATAGACACATACGCACACGCACTCATATATATACCTTGAAAAAAAGTAAATTATTTTGTGTACCACCATTCAAACACATATGTGTTTTAATTTTATATATCTTGTAGGCTTATACAGTTTTTTAGGAGGCCCACCCTTTGTGTTTTGGAATTTGAGCATTTCTAAAAGATATTGATAAGAAAAATTTGAATGAGAGAATTGAAATATAAAAGTTTCAAAAGTGAATCTAAATTGCTCTTATGTCTTGTTTTCAAAATGATCAATACAATATTCCATATGATAGTGTAAACATCAAGTAATATCCAAGAAGTTGGGACAAAGAGAAAAAAACAGTGAAGTATATATCAATAATTTAATATATTTTTAAAAGAAAATAAACAGAGAAAGAGTCTCTTCCCACCTCCCCTTTGAATGTTTTTTTACAAAATGATCTGTCATTAAGGGTAGCTCAGAAGTAAAGCGGTTGCTTTGCATGCAATTGCTAAGGTGATCGATGCTCTTCAACTCCTGGTTGTCAATAGTGTTCTCTACCTTTCAAATCAAATGACCGTATCTCACCCTCAATGGTACAGCTTGCAAAGAAAAAGTCCACGGCCTTGTAATAGGAGTAATTTCTTGAAATGGTGGTAGGGAATTCATCTTATAAGTTGGAAATAATCCAGACAACGAATTTCACGAGTCCGGACAAACCCTGGTCGTGAGCGCCAAAACGTGTGGTCGTGCTTAGCACATCCGACTGATAACCAGACGGAATATACGCAACATATCCGTTTGACCAGGACGGAATATACGGTTTTGCGACTGTCTTCTTTTCCTTCCACGCGCTTCAGCGCTCGTCCTCTGCACGACTAGCACGGGGGAAGAACGCCTCTACGCCATGCACCCTAGGGTTTGGCCGGATAGTGGAGGCGGAGGGGGAGACGATCGCACGTATCCTCGGAGCTCCACCTCGATCATCGACCGGTAAGTGGCCGTAATCCGGCAAATGTAGCTCGCTATCGCATCGATCGCTCGCCCGTCGCCAATGCTATGTCGCGGCATTCTCCTTCTCCCTGATTCTTGAGGCTCGAGATCCCGAACGGCTTGGATGCCAGCAAAATGTCAGCGCCTTCTACATCGCCCCCGGCAACCTCTCCGCCCCTGCCAGCGTCGCCGCCACTCGCCGGGGGCACCCCTCCGGCGCCGGTGATTCTCGCGCCTCCGCCCGTTCCAGTGCTCTCTCCTCCTCCCGCCGCCACTGCTCCTCCTCCTGCGTCGTCTCCCCCGCCGCCACTTCCAGTGGTTTTGTCTCCTCCCCCACAAAATCCATCTCCTCCGCCTCCTGTCCCTCAGGCTTCACCGCCTCCGTCAGTCCCTTCGTCTCCGCCGCCTGTCCCTCAATCTTCTCCGCCACCTCCTGTGATCGTTGCTCCTCCTCCAGCGGCGTCAGCGTCCCCTCCGCCTCCGGATTTGACACCATCTCCGCCAGCACCTGTCGTAAACTCTCCACCGCCGCCGAATCCCACTGCTCCTTCTCCGCCAGCTCCGCCGGACGAATCCGGCTCCCCGCCGCCATCGTCATCTGATCCAGGCTCCTCGGCCCCGCCTCCTCGTCCTTCGAGAAGGCTCTCGCCACCTCCTCCAGCGGGTGACTCTTCGCCACCTCCTCCAGCCGATGACTCGTCGCCACCTTTGCCGGCAGCAACTCCGCCAACGTCCCCTGTAACTCAGTCGCCACCTCCGCTGCCTAATACTACTACGACGATTCCAACTGGTGTTTCGCCTCCCACCGGCGGCACTCCATCGCTCTTTCCAGGAACACCAAGTCCGCCTGCTGTTCTATCGCCGCCAACGTCTATACCGAATGGCCAAACAGGTTCGTCTGGCGTTGCGAGCTCAACGATCATAGGCATTGCTATCGGGGGCGTGGTGGTCGTGGCAATGCTGGTCCTCTTGGTCGTTTGCTTTTCAAGGAAGAGAAGAAGATCGGGCACCGGGAACACACAGAACTTTGGAGCAGCTCACTCGTTTTATCACAAGGATGGTGAGCAGTTTGACGTTCTCTCTTTCTTTTCTGAATTGATTTATCTCAGGGGCAGACACTTACTATGATCCGGGACGAAGATTTGATTCCGGTTACTCGTCCGCGTCTGATGCAAATGGAAAGCCATTCTTTCCTCCAATGCCACCTTCAGGCTCTCTTGGGCATGCACCTACGAGAGGCCAGGGGTCCAATGGATCTTTCTTTAGCTATGAAGATCTAGCACAGGCTACCAACGGGTTTTCTAGAGCCAACATGCTTGGAGAGGGAGGCTTTGGCTGTGTATACAAGGGAATCTTACCAGGGGGACAGGAGGTGGCTGTAAAACAGCTCAAGGTTGGAGGAGGACAAGGCGAACGTGAATTTCAGGCGGAAGTGGAGATTATCACTCGGATCCATCATCGTCATCTTGTAACATTGGTAGGCTACTGCATTTCTGAAACTCAGCGTCTTCTTGTCTATGAGTTCGTTCCTAATGGCACATTAGAACATCATCTCCACGGTAAAAGAGCCACCGGTTTTTCGGGAAAATGTTTGACTCTTACAAACTTTACAGGCAAAGGCAGACCTTTACTTGACTGGAGTCTAAGAATGAAGATTGCTGTTGGCTCTGCTCGGGGCTTAGCGTATCTTCACGAAGATTGTAAGTTCCTTTGATTTCGCCTACTGTTTGTTTAACGGCTTGGACAGGTCATCCGAAAATTATTCATCGCGACATAAAATCGTCTAACATATTACTGGATAGTAACTTTGAAGCTCAGGTACAGAGGTCGTTTGTATGTCGTTTTCTTCTTTTGTTGACGGATATCTGTATGTTTCAACAGGTAGCCGACTTCGGATTGGCAAAGCTTGCATCCGATGCTCACACACACGTCACTACTCGAGTTATGGGAACATTCGGGTAAATTCTCTGAAGTCTGATAGGATTGTTTTGTTCTGAGCGTTATCTTTGTCCGTCACCAGGTACTTGGCGCCTGAATATGCTTCAAGTGGAAAGCTCACGGACAAATCCGACGTTTATTCTTTCGGCGTAGTTCTACTCGAACTGATTACTGGCCGCAAACCCGTAGACACATCTCAGCCTCTTGGGGAGGAAAGTTTGGTTGAGTGGGTACGTACTCCTTGACGTTGTTGCCCATGCCTTTTTCTTACACAGTGCTCCTGCATTTTCAGTCTCGACCGTTGATAAACCAGGCGCTAGAGACACAAAACTTGGATCTTATGGCCGATCCATTGCTGAATGAATACAGCAAGGACGAGATGCTTAGGATGCTCCGATCAGCCGCGGCATGTGTTAGACACTCAGCTAATAAGCGACCAAAAATGGCACAGGTACGTACCGGAGCATTTGATGCGATGCGCCTACGGTTCTCTTCGCGCTGCGGGTGTATTTCTGCGTGATTGATGGATTGATGCTGATCTCTCATTTTTTTTTGCCCTTTTTACTTGCAGATCGTTCGTGCTCTGGAAAGTGATTCAGATTCGAGGCCCGGGTTTAGTGGACTGCACGACTCGCCATTCGCCAGTGACGACTATGATTCGGCACAGTATAGCACCGACCTGCGGAGATTTAGAAAGATGGCACTGGGCACCAGCCAGGAATACGGCAGCGAATACAGCGGCGCGACGAGCGACTATGGTGTCAATCCCTCCGTCTCCAGCGGCGAGTATCAGCAAAGCAAGGACTGGACGCCACCAAGGAGTGGCCACGAATCCGAGTGGCCACTGAGAAGCCGGCAACAATGATAACTACAAACAAAGCGGACGAGAGAGGCAACCAACACTTGATGCCGGCTGCTGTCATGGAGTATCCAACGTGTTATTTTTTTTGCTTTCATGTCTGTTTTTCCTTTTTGGATCTCAACGCACTGACAGCTTCCTTGCAGTAACAGAGCAAGCTAAGCGAAAGAACTCAAAAATGTGAAAAGATTCGAAGCAACCGGGAGTCTCTGTCGTGATTGATCGTTGGCCACTGACGCCAATATTCTTTGCTTTGCACGCCCAGATTAAGTATATTGTAGCTAGAGTAGCTACAACCTTTTTGATATAGAACGAGCAAATGGATATGTTACAGTGATCTATCTCTTCTATAGGTAGTGATTTTCTTTGTCTTGCTTTGGTGTGGATCTAACTCGAGGAATGATATCGTCGTGTGTAGGAAGTAAAGATCCTTGTCAAGCGAAGTTGATGACGATGGCGATGGTGGTATAATGCGTCTGTACAATCTCGCGGGTGGTGGTCAGTCGACAAGAGCAAACGAAACTCTTTACAAGGCCGCTGCTCTTGATGTGGAAGGGGCCGAGTCCTTGGAGGTGATGAGGCCCAGGCTGTAGAGAATGCGCTCCGAGTGTAACTTAAAGAAGGCCGCCAGCGAGAACCTTGGCGATGGCGAGTCGTCGAGGCCGAGCAGCTGGGGGCAAACCGGGGCGCTCCTCACGTTGAGCATGGCCTGCCCGAGCTCCTCGCGGATGGCTTCCACGGTTCTCATGTCCACGGCGTCGCCGGAGGCCGCGTCCGTGACGTAGAAGGTGTTGGCTACCGTGCCGGCCCGTGTGGTGGAGATGTAGGCCCGGGTGACGCACAGGCCGTGGCGATGAAAGACTTTGGTCACGTCCGAGAGCAACCCCACCCGGTCATAGGTGCAAAGCTCCAGCCGCAGCCCCTACAATGGATAGATCGAACAAACAGTCGCGTCAGGCACACATAAAGCGCGGGTCTCTTTCTTTTACTTCCGGTTCCAACAAGAAAGTACCTCAGGGAATCGCCTTTGAATCGCGGCAACCAGGCGCTTTATGAGCCGCTGCCTTTCGTCGTCCGTCTCCAGCGTGCAGCCGTCAGTGTGACGAATGTAGAACTCCTGCACGGGCGTAGCTAGCGTGATGAGTCCGGCAAAAGAAGAAAGTTGGAAGAAGCAACAAGTTCCTGTACCTGATAGGCAAAGTACCCCTCGGAGAGGATGGTGGCGTGGAAGATCATGTAGTCCATGTCTGTCAGCGTGCAAACAGTGTCAAAGAGGAGCTTGGAGCGGTCCTGGCAGTGAATGTTCACTACTGAGTAGCCCCGCTCGACGCAGTTCCGGATCGTAACAGTGGGTCTGCCTTTCCCGTTTACCGTGCGCTGCTCCGTCTCGTCGCAAAGTCGTCCCTCGAGCTCGCGACTTTCGCCGCAGTGATCTTCGTCAGCGGACATCATCTGGTGTAGCCTCCGCTCCATGTGTGTCAAACCCGAGAAAAATTCGGCCGTCCTGCCGGCACCGCCACCTCGCTCGCCGTCGTTGGCACGGATCACGCGGCACAGCCGGTCCTTGATGTCTTTAAGTTTGTCACAGTCCTCAATGGGGCCACCGCTGCTGCAAGCGTTATCCACGAAGATCATGCCGGCGACTCTGAGGTTATGTGTCCACACGGCGGCGGAGCGGACGTTGCAGTTCATGCTGCTGAGCGTTGAGAAGACCTCGGACAGCAGGCCTGGTCGGTTGGGGCCTGAAAGTTCAATCGCAGTGTGTTGGTGAGGACCTGTTCCCAGGCTGACGCGGGTGATCTCTCCTCCCTCAGCGGAGCATACCTTTGATGGATTGGAGCACTTGGATCCAATCCAAGGCATCTCTGCCGCTTTCTTCTCCAGCGACTGGTCGGCAGAAAGAAAGAAATGAGCTTTGACACTCAACCATTGTTGGGAATCCACATACCTCCTGGATGAACTTGAGAACTTCCTCGTCGGTGATCTTGTTCCCGTCGATATCGGTTACGTGAAATACTGGCAAAAGAAAAACAAGAACAGTGCGATGCGATCGATCAAAAGAGAACGTGATTGATCACATACCATCCATGAACCAGCCAGCGTCGGACGAAACATAGGCCTTGCTGATGAAGAGATCGAGATCAGTCAAGACTTGGACAACCTCCAACAAGATTCCATGGCGATTGACGCTGTCCAGCTGCAAAAGATACACATCTCAGGCATCCCATCCCTCGCGAATCCAAATCTAAGAGCGCAATGCGCAGAAATTTTTTCTAGAGAGTACCTTGATCACCGTCGCACCTGTAAATGCCGCATTCTCGATCACGACCCTGAGAGGAGGAAAGCAAGATCAATCTAGCTCCCAGAGCCTAGCTAGCGCGAAATCTTTCACTCTGGATAGATACCTCGGTGGATTCAAGCTCGCGTTGAGCGACTCATACTCCGGATCGAAATACGCCCAGCCTCGACCCGCGGTGACCACGACCATGGCGATCGATTTCGACGACTGACCGATTGATCGCTGAAAGGAAGCGCCCAAAATATCGAGCGCGCGGCCGAGCAGCAGAGATTACTGCCGATCCCAGTCCCCTAGGTCGGCTTAGACCAGCGAGCGAATGACGCGAGCGAGGGGCCTCGTCCGGCCCGCGATCCCGCACAGATCCGAACGAAAATCTACACAAACGATGAGAGCTCCCGCCATGCCGCGCTGTGCCCAGCTACTGACGACGAAATCAAGGCGCTCCCATCGAGAAGAAACGGACATTCTTCCCTAGCCCCTGTATGTTGTTCCTCTTCGTCTCTTCTGGCGATGCTGGGCTCTTTAAAAATCAAAGGCGAGAGCTCTTTAAACCGGACCCCCCTTTTTAACGGTAGGTAATGCACGAAACTTAAACGGCGGCGCGCCGGCCGTTGGATGCCGGTGGAACGGCTGCGATGCGAGCCCACCGTCCGTACAGAGACATGGGAATGGGCCGGCGGAGGGGCGGGGCGCGAATCGAATGGGCGCTTTTCAAAACTTTGGCTTGGTACACACATCAATTATTCGCTTTGAATATTCGCATTGGTGTGAAATATTCCTACCCGTCGAACAGGATATTCTCCTTTCTTAACTTAGACCGTGGGCGGAGCGGCGCCTGGTACGTTGATTTTCTTGTGAGTGTCGTAACTAGGAATGCTACGCGTGCCAGATCGAAGAGCGCTGCTCATTCTCTGAATCTAACTAAACCTCGCGTTTAGAGTTTGATACAATGCAATGTTGGACCAAAACAATGCGAATGGTACGTTGTTTTGATTATTTGCGTCCGGTGGCTGCTCCAATTGCGGCAAGACATAATGTCAGTGACCACGACGCACACAAGTTGGTTGTCAGCTGTCCAGAGAAGTTGGGTGGCGCCATCTCGCTGTGAGTCTTTCATCAACTTCACTAACTCTTATAATTTTTTATTTTTAAAAAAAATTATTTTGCGGTACTGCTTCTCATAACGCTGTTACAGGCACACAAAACTAGCTGTTTTCGTACGAGAGTGCTGGAGAAAATCGTTCGTGATCGCTAAGACAGTCCCGGATCAATTATCACGCCAAAAGGTTCGCGTAGAGGCATTGTTTTTGCTCCTTGTCCGTGTAGCTACTTCAAGAGTATGTGTTGTTGCTGCGAAGTCTTCTTCAATCCCACCAGATCGATTGGGATTGCTGTCGAATCAGTCATAGAGTCTTGTTTTGATTTGCTTAGGAATAATATAGAGTTTGGTCGCGGTTCCTTGTCAGTTCTTATCCCTTGAGAGGTGTGTCGGTTTCGATTCCTTTCCGGCACTCCTAGGAGTGGAATAGAAGTCCTTTAAGCCCTACTCACTGCATTCATTCTCTCAATCTCGAAAGGACGCTGTCGCTCAACCTTTTATCTTCAAGCAGGTTCTCTCCAACACTTCTGGTTCTGTGCTTCTTCTTTGTTCCTTTTGGAGAATTGAAGGTCATGTTTTTCTGTCTTGTTTGAATCTCCTTTTGCAGAATTGGAGTTCCTGTTCTAGCTAAGCTTTCTGTCTTGTTTGAATTTCCTTTTGGAGAATTGGAGTTCCTGTTCTAGCTAAGCTTTTTGTCTTGTTGAATTTTCCTGAAGATTCTTCCAAGTCTTTCTTCCTGCCCACTCTTAGTGCTGCTATCATGATCTTTGACGAGCTGGCGTTTATTCGAATGTGTTGAGAAATTTTTGCGGGTTCTAATGCTTGCTTTCCGTGTGTGCATCATGAGCTTTGACAGGTTGTGCTCCATTCGATTCGTGCTCTTTGTGCTTAGAAACACGAGGTGAACTGTCATCTCGCGAAGATTGCTCATATCATGCGCGATCTTTGACGGATTCTCCCTCACTCGAATTTCTTTGCTCCAGGGTCCACAGGCATGAGAGAAATCCTTCACATCCAGGGTGGTCAGTGCGGCAATCAGATCGGTGCAAAGTTCTGGGAAGTTGTGTGCGACGAGCATGGGATCGATCCGACCGGGAGCTACACCGGGACGTCCGAGCTTCAGCTGGAAAGAGTGAACGTTTACTACAATGAAGCCAGTGGGGGCCGCTACGTTCCACGCGCTGTGCTCATGGATTTGGAGCCTGGCACCATGGATAGCCTGAGATCCGGCGTCTACGGACAGATATTCCGGCCAGACAACTTTGTCTTTGGACAAACTGGAGCCGGAAACAACTGGGCCAAAGGTCATTATACAGAAGGTGCCGAGTTGATCGATGCTGTTCTCGACGTTGTTCGCAAGGAGGCTGAGAACTGCGACTGCCTGCAAGGTAAAATGAACGAAAACCACACTTTGAAGCAAAAAAGATTTTTTTTTTTTTTTTTTTTTGTTGAGCAGGATTCCAGGTCTGTCACTCTCTTGGTGGAGGAACTGGGTCGGGCATGGGAACGCTTCTCATATCCAAAATCAGAGAGGAGTACCCGGACAGGATGATGCTTACATTCTCGGTGTTCCCTTCTCCCAAGGTTTCTGACACGGTGGTGGAGCCATATAATGCAACTCTCTCGGTTCATCAGCTCGTGGAGAACGCAGACGAGTGCATGGTGCTAGACAACGAGGCTCTCTACGACATATGCTTTAGAACACTCAAGCTCGTCACTCCTACATGTACGTTCTCCTGTTTTGTTTGGTATATAAGTTAAGAGTGTTTGTTTCATCCAGTTGGAGATCTAAACCATCTCATCTCCGCAACCATGAGCGGGATCACTTGCTGCCTTCGTTTCCCCGGGCAACTCAACTCGGACCTCCGGAAGCTGGCCGTCAACTTGATCCCGTTCCCTCGCCTCCACTTCTTCATGGTGGGATTCGCGCCGCTCACCTCCAGAGGCTCGCAGCAGTACCGCTCGCTCACGGTCCCAGAGCTGACGCAGCAGATGTGGGACGCCAAGAACATGATGTGCGCCGCGGACCCGAGACACGGGCGATACCTCACCGCGTCAGCGATGTTCCGCGGCAAGATGAGCACCAAGGAGGTGGACGAGCAGCTCATCAACGTCCAGAACAAGAACTCGTCCTACTTCGTCGAGTGGATCCCAAACAACGTCAAGTCGAGCGTGTGCGACATCGCTCCGAAGGGGCTCAAGATGTCGTCCACCTTCGTGGGGAACTCGACGTCGATCCAAGAGATGTTTAAGCGGGTGAGCGAGCAGTTCACGGCCATGTTCCGGCGGAAGGCGTTTCTTCACTGGTATACGGGCGAGGGGATGGACGAGATGGAGTTTACCGAGGCCGAGAGCAACATGAACGATCTGGTGTCCGAGTACCAGCAGTACCAGGACGCGGCCGTGGAGGCGGACTACGAGGACGATGATGAAGAACAGGCAGCGTGAAAAAAACTTAAGTTTGCGAGATATGTTTGCGTGTGTGTGTGTGTGTGTGTGTGTGTTGTGAAGTAACATTTTCTCCTCTATATGATATACCTACTTGACTTTAGGTGCCAGAAGATTTCTCCCACTTCAACCGGGTTATCGGAAGCTACATTGTCAGCGCACAGGGACATTGACCAGGACATTGACCATCCCTCCGGATCTCGCTGTATGTCACTCGCACCATGGAAGTGGGTGTTCAAGGGTGATACTGTAAATGGTGGAGTTCCTGGTTCATCGGATTCTCTGCTATGGCCCAACAATTTAAATGGCACCATGACTACTAATGTTTGGCTAATTTGAAAATAAAAACGGTGGTAAGGGACACAACAAACTTGTTTGCACAGTCTTATGCTTCTTGTTGGGCACCGCAAGACTGCCAAAACAGAATATAATGATAATAATCATAATAATTTTCATTGCTTCGAATAACACGTGGTGAGACTAATTTATTTCATTGAATGCTATGATAAGTGATCTTTAAAATTTGGTGTAGACCTCCTGGGGGAGCCTTGGACTGGCCATGGCTTGCAATGGGGTCTTGAGCTGCAGGGCACTGCGGTAAACCTCTTCCATGGACGGCGTTGTCCCAGGCACAAAGCTCCAATTGAAGCCATGGATGAGATTTGCCACGAGCAGCTCCACCGATCGCAGTCCCATGCCCATTCCCGGACACTTTCTCCGCCCGGAACCAAACGGGAGAAGCTCAAAGTTGTGGCCTTTGACATCGATGGAGCTCCCCAAGAAGCGCTCCGGGTGGAATTGTGTGGGATTCTCCCACACTGCCGGATCCATTCCAATCGCCCATGTATTCACCAGGAGAGTGGTCCCTTTTGGAACGTGAAAGCCGCCAACGTTTGCTGCTTGCCTTGAGATGCGCGGCAGGAGTAAGGCTCCCGGGGGATAGCGTCTGAGTGTTTCCTTGAGAACAATCTGGAGGTACTCGAGCTTTTGGAGGTCCAACTCTTGTACCATCCGAGTGTTGCCCACAACCCTCTCGAGCTCCTCGTGGAGCTTGGCCATGACTCGAGGATTGTGCATCACTCCACCCATGAGCCACTCGCTGACGGTGGTGGTGGTATCAGTTCCAGCAATTAACATCTCCTGGGCATTTGTAACATAAGAAATACCTGTTAGTCAATCAAGGAGAAGTTTTGCAAAGCTTACCATGAGATTTGCCTTTACGTAAGTCTCCCCTTGTGTCCCTGCTCCAAAGAAGTCGAGCATGATATCCAGGAAGTCCTTGCATTCCCGTGTCCTCTCCTTGTGCTCCTCAACAATCTTTTGCAAGAACTCGTCTTGCTTCGCATGGATTCGCTTGTAGCGAGGGATCTGCCAGTCCAGCCATCGCAAGTACCAGGGCACCAAGTTGCTAACACAGGGATTGATCGCCAGCTCAAGAACATTGTCGTTGAGCTCCTTGAATTCCATGGCATGGGCATCTACGTTTTCATCACCACCTCTTACCCATCAAAATTCGTGATGTGACGTTGAAGAAGAAAACACTGGCCACTTTTCTCACCTCCACAGGTTTGCCATCGCCATGGGCCTTCAAAATCCCCTCCAAGGCACGAGAAAGCTCATCCCTTCTGACCCAGGAGAAGGAGTCGATACACTTGGCCGTGAAGAGCTCCATTGTACAGAGCTTGCGGGTGTTTCGCCATAGCTCTCCATAGGGACTACTTGAACCTCCAGAAAAGGATGACGTGCTTCCAGAAAGCCAAGTATGGCCTAGAAGCAAAATTTAAATCGTGTGCGGTGAAGACCTCCTTGGCAAGCTCCTGGCTGGATATTACCACAGTTGGGATCATTCCCAGCCTCAAGGAAGTAATAGGACCATACTTGTTGGCTATGCGTTGCAATGCTCTGTGCGGGGGCATTCCTGCTAGCAAGTGTAAGTGGCCAATCAGGGGTAATCCCCATGGACCTGGTGGAAGATTTGAGCCAGCTTTCAAGAAACACAAGATCAAGAGAGCAATGAAAATTAAGAAGCTCACAGCAAGTGCTAGATCCATTTCTGTGGTGCTTGTGTCAATACTTCGCGACTTTTAAAGCGACTTGGAAGCCTTGGAGTGGTCAGTAGCTGTCTTTCTCTGCTAGATCCATTCTGTGGTGCTTGTGTCAATATTTCCACGACTGTTAAAGCGACTTGGAAGCCTTGGAGTGGTCAGTAGCTGTCATGAACAGTTTTTCTAGCTTTTTCTCCATAGTTTTCAATCCCAGATTCCCAATTCCAGATAAAATCCACCCAAATCTGCCTCGATCAATGCCAGACACATCCATGCTTGCATTTCCCAAGACCAGGCATGCGGCACGAGAAGTTCCTGGCGAACTTGCTCATGGGAATTTGTGGAAGTGTTCTAAACCTCGTGTCTTAATTCATGTATTTGAAAAAAAAAGCCTTGATATCTATAATTCAGAAGCGTTGTTCAAGAGCATGGCCGAGATAAATAGTGTCCTTGCGATTTGGAATCTAGGAGTATTTGCCACAAATGGTCTCTGTAAAATCTTTGTTATGTGTTTGAAACTATGACTGAATAGAGCATGTGCCTAGTTGAGGTTTTGTGAAGTGCTAGATCCATTTCTGTATCATTGATATTTTAAGAATTTATTGATAGCAGTTTAGCATTTAATAGATTACTTATGAAAAACTACTGCTTACAAGTAGATTAACATCACTATTAACCATTTTGGGGTTAATGAATTTTTGAATAAACAACTTACTTATAATCACAAGGATATGATATAAGAATCATAATGTCTTGATGGCTAAATAAGAAACATTACAAGTAAAGCCCATATTATTACTACAAAGATTGACACTAGTATTAAGTGTTAACTCTAATCAACAAAATGCAATATAAATGTTATACCCCATTAATAAAGATTTATAGGCAAGCTCATGCCACTCTCTTTCTGACTAAATTTAAAACTAATTTAATACTAAATTACTTAAGGAGTAATAGTAAAGTTTTCTAAAAAAGAATTAAGCATTACAACTCAAATATTCTAATAGCAAATGTAAGTAAAATGCTTTAATTCTTTATTGCTTTCTAATCTATGACATACCACTTGTAAGACCACCATAACAAATATATATTGAAGTAGGGACTCTCAATTGTATAATATAAATACAAGCAATGAGATCACATCTTATTACAAATTGCCTTTCAAAAAAGAGAAGATTATTTACATATTTGATCATTCATCCATGATGACTCTTTTTTCAAATTAAACCTTAAACTTATATTTGCACTACTTTAAATTTAATCTAAGAAAAGTTTGTAAAAAAGTATAATAATGACTACTTGAACCAGTAGATTAATCTCTATACTCTTGATTGATCCACTCATAATCATACCTAAGAAGGATTCACTAATGTCATGCTAAACAATTACAAACTAGCCTATTCACCAATTATATGGAGGTATACTTTTACCCTAATATAGTAGTAACTCATGGATAGGCTAATATCAATCCTTAAGTATAAGTTCATACATCTCAAAACCATCTAATGAGCCCAAGCAAAAACTCATATATAGGTGTATAAAATATTATGTGCCAAAATCTATACCCAAAGCTATATGTAAAGCTATAACAACCAAATATATACCCATTCGGATTATTATTTTCCTCTCTGCATATACAACAAGATTAACTACCCAATTTTATTACATAAAAATCATTGAGACTAATCCTTTTGATACTAAATATAGTGCACATGGTGTCATCTTATACTCTATGATAGGATAACCATAAAATAGAATCTAACTCTTAGATATGTGTGCCAAGGGCAATCAAGTATAAATTTTGGGCCACTAAATGAAGGATAAGCTATAAGCATATTGTAAGCTCTTGAATTTAAACTTCATGGGAGGTAACTCAACCTAGTACTATTTAAACCCAAGGACATGTAACCCTAAATATTTCAAGACTTTTAACTAATTAAAAAAGGGAGTGCACTCTTATTTTTTATAAGCCCTTTTCCTTTTTTATTTAAACCCTAATAGACCGTATTTTATATTGTTTTGTTTGGCTATTTATAATCTACCACACTTCTTTGCAAGTTCATGCTCTCATGAACAAAAGTTGAGAGCTACAACTCTCCCAAGAACCTCTCTCTCTTAACATCTTACCCTTCAAGTTGAGCCCAGTAGAAGGCAAACTAAACTTGCTAGATATCAATGTCAACATATAATGTGATTCCCCTAGCCAATTAACAGAGTTCGATTTGAAACCCTTTTAATACCAAATGTAAGTTCTTAAATTTGGACAATATTATTCAAACCCAAGGATGCCTAACCCTAAGTATTTTAAAACTATTAATTAATTGAAAAAGGGGGTGCACTTTTATTATAGGCTTTTTTCCTTTTATATTTGAGTCTTTATAGACCATTTTTAAAATTGTTTTCTTTGGTTGCTTACACATACTTAAGGAATGAAGGAATAAAACCACAAAACAACACTTAAATAGTAGCATCTTAACACTAAAACTAAACCAAAACAGAGTCAAATAGAGTTTTACACTATTACAACATACTGATGGCTTGATATGAGGATGTAGGTATACCACTAGCTAACCTGGTATAGAGCTTTAACTTAAGCTCAAGTTAGATGTAAACTAAGGATAAATATACCCAATAAAGAACTAGATAATATTTCAAATTAGTCAATCATACTTACTACCTTTAATATATATTTAAAACCCCCTATAGACCCTACATGAAAGCATGTTTTTAGTCTCTGAAAAACTCAAAAACTTACTAAATATGAAATGATGCTAAATTGTGAATTTGGACATAGGAGAACTTAAATTGGAATGACACATAGGGCATGATAGTATATAATAAATTATTATGTACCAAATATTAAAGGACTAAGCTCAATATCACAAGTAAGTGAAAACCAATGAATAAGTTTATATAATTAAGCTAAGTATGTTTAACTAATAACACTTAGAAATTCCATTATTATGCTTTTTTGGGCAAGTGCATATGTGAAAACTAGTTTCTCAACTAATTTAGGTAGAGACTAATAAAGGGAATCAACAATATTAATATCCTACTATTATAGT